ACCAGTTTAACGTTGAATATTATTTATGATTTTAACTTTATACACAAGTGCCAAAATACTATAATTAAAGATTGTTATTCAACAGAAATATTCTATATTCTGATGATAGAAGTAACTCACTGCACAAAAATAGAAATATATAATTTATCTGTATTCATAGCAAAGCTATTATAGGTATATCTATCGCCGTCCATAAGCTTGAACTACCGATCAGAAAGATTGTTTGTTTTTGAAGTTAAGCACAAAGCTACACAATGGGCTATCTTATCCCCACAGGTATTAAAAACCGGTTCCTAGCGTTGTAAGTCCGCAGGCATATACTGCTGTGTCACTGAAGGGGGAGGGCAACGAGAAGGAAAGCAGCTAATTATCAACACTCTACCACCAACCATCCACAGATTATAGTGCGAGAAATATTTTATGTTATCGCACAGATTCAAACCCTGCTCAGCAGTGTATAATGGTAAAATCCGTTAAAATATGGTGTTACACAACCAACAAAAATCTTAAAATCCACTCCGAGTTCACTTTGTCCAAATTGTACATTTCCAACAGACTAACGGTTACAAAACTTTTAGCTCCGAAATATTTTTCAGATTTAATAAATTTGAAAATAGGCAAAGTAAGTCCACCTACTATATGTATAAAAAAAGTGTAATACACAAAAACTATAATTTTACACTTTAACACTCCTCTTGAAGTTTCTTTACGAAATTTACATTACTGTTTATTTCTTCAGTTAATGCAATACTTTGCATTATAAACATTATTTCTTCTTTTAGTTTTATGACGAAATCAAACACGTCATTCACGCAAAGTGATTTATAACGCGTAACTTATCATAAGTATAGACAAAATTGCTTCCACAAATATCTCGGTAAGAAGTAACATTTTTTATATATTTACTGATCACGTATTATAACTTGAGAAAAATAACTTCTAAAATAATTCAATCACTCAGTGAAACTATTTCTGTATATCTTAACTGACTGTATGATGAACGTATTAGAAATTTCAGCTATCATTACGCTTGAATAAAAAAAAAGGAAGAAAACCTTTTGATGTTCAACAACACGAAATATAATGTCTTAAAATACTCAATAGATGGCGCCAAGTGCACAACTAAATACTTATTGGACACAAGCGTACAAAGACTAGTAGCCTAGAAATAACAACGCCTATTTAATAATATTAATAAATCAAATACTTAAAATTTTTTAGTACAAATACTTTTGAGTAACATGTTCTAGAATGTTACAAAAATCTGAATGAATAATTTTACGGAAACAGTACGAAGAACATGAATTTCAACATGTATTAATAAAGAATCCTGACGTTTTCGACAGATGGATCTGTCTTCTTCAGGGATTAAAGGACCTAGAATCAAGGAAGACAAGTGGTCCTGTCTTCTTCAGGGATTAAAGGATCCTAGAATCAAGGAAGACAAGTGGTCCTGTCTTCTTCAGGGATTAAAGGACCTAGAATCAAGGAAGACAGGCGGTCCTCCAGATTATCTTCAACCAGAACTGTAAATTTTCAGTTTTTTTTCTGTACTTAAGAAATAAATATTGTGTCTTATTTTCCGTCATTTAGTAATATATAGACTACACTTATTTATACGAATGGCTTTGTTTTGATACATCTTAAAAATACTGCAGAAGGTGTAGTTATTAAAAAAAAAATTATGAAAGTAACATAATACTAACCAATAGATGGCGCGCTCGTATCGTTATCTATCATATTTTTATCGACGCATACAAAATATTTTAGTATATTAACGCACATAACAGAAACACTTATACTGATAACCGAATTTCTGATTTTTTTCTCTATCACTAGAACATTTAGAAAACGTTCCCGTGGTGGCTTACAGCACTTCTTTTTTTTTAAAGTTTTAATATATTAATTGATGCGTACAATATTTACTGAAAACACGTAATTAATATATTGAACTTACAATTCGTAGCGAACACAATATTTTAATCAATTTGATTGTGTTAGTTATAAATATTGTGCAAACATGACAGGTTCGTGTTTAAATCCTTCAAGCGTAGAAGCATACTAAAAGGCTTAGTTTTATAATTCAAGATAATTAAATATAGGTGAAGAATTATTTATGGATTAATTTGACCAGTACCTGACATGTCAACATTACTACATTTAGAACACAAATCCTACATCTTATAAAACTAAAAGCACCGAATAGGCTCACTTACATTTTTTAACCGCCATACATTGAAGAATTGGTGAGAATTACACTATAGATGCACGTGCTTGTTTGATCCGTGCCAATATGCACGATCACTGTTGATACCTTTTTTCTTATCCTCAGTTTCTGCTTTGCTTCGTAAAACGCGTTATGAAATAACTTTCCCAAGCACACACATATACACACTCACAGTTAGAGATTCACGAAGGTTCTAGACCGCCGGGGGAGCGTTGCCACTACTGACAGGATCGGCAACTAACAGTGTAGTAAGGAAGAGCGTTTTATCCAAGCCTTCGGCCGGTAAGTCATCCATCCCACACAGGGCACAACGTAGAGCGGCTGCTGACGTCTAGTTATATTGTTTACGACCGGTACAGTACAACGGCAGCTGGCAACAATCCACACTGTCAGGCTTTCTCTCCTAATATGTTTTGCAGGGGATTTGTTAGTTCACTTCTTTACCGCGAGAGGGTGGAGCTAAAGACGTCACACGTGACGTCAATCGTTCGCAGTTCTTTCTTTCATTTTTCGTCAGATGTGAGCGTGAGTAATATTAAAAGAAAAAAAAAGGAGAAAAAGATCAAAACATTCAAAATAGGCAAAAATATTTTTAGAATTAACATTTATACATACCTGAGCGTAGATTTTTTGAAGCGGTGTTGAGCAACCAGTTTTGCAGTTTTTTTTTTCTGCTCTTTTCGATGTTGGAAGCCAAAATTCAATTAAATTTTACGCGTTAAAAGAAGGGGAATTTCTAAATGGAGACAATTAATTTGAAATGGAATATATATATTGTTTGTTCAATTTGATATCGGAGATTTTCTTGGAAACGTTTCGCTAGATATATTCGGATTAATGTAGTAGGCCCGGCATTGCCAGGTGGTTAGGGCGCTCGACTCGTAATCTGAGGGTCGCGGCTTCGAATCCCCGTCCCACCAAACATGCTCGCCCTGTCAAAAAAGAGTAAAAGAGTAGCCCAAGATTTGGCGGTGGGTGGTATTGGCTAGTTGCCTTCCATCTAGCATTACACTGCTAAATTAGGGACGGGAAGTGCAGATAGCCCTCGTGTAGCTTTGCGCGAACAAACAAACAAACAAAATCTTATCTTATATCGTTTCGACCTACAAATATTTTTGAACTGACAAACACGTCTTGATTATGGTATTACATATTCACACACACACACACGCAGATTTCATTAATATTTCACGTTACTCATGTTTTCCATAAATCCTCTATCAGTTTTTGCTCTTTTGCATTTATTTCACCCTCTACGATTTCTGATCTTTCTGCTATATGCACCTGTTTACGTAAAAATACAGTTCCATTTTTAGTAGAGGGGGTGGCCGGCTACCTATCGGGTCGTAGGCTTATCTTTTAAGCACACCTAATTTTAGTCGAATATCTGTTTTCCTGCGTCATCGTTCGTTTACTTTTACTTGCGCTGCAGTGGCTGTTAGTTAAAATTATGTACCTTCGTTTCATTCTGCGAACGACAACATTCGGGGTTCAATCCCTGCAGTTGGCACTGATCATTGTACTGCTTTGCGCTTAATAACAAACCAACAACCCAGTTTAATTTGTAAGAGAATAGAGAATGCCAGATATCTCAGCTAATTTTCGGTATTTTTTTTTCAGTTTTTGGCTTTAATTACTGAATATCCTGTTGGCATGCTATTTCGCAACTTTTCCGTTGCGTCACGCTTCACCCTGCTAATTGTCACACGTTCATGTCTCAACTCTGAAAATTGAGCCTTTCAAGTGTAAGTAAAGGAGAATGTATTATAACAAGTCAACACCGCACTATATTTGCCAAATCCAATGCCGACGAGGCCTTTCGACTAACGCCAGGGCTTATCAGACTGGCTGGGATGTGACAGATAAAATAGGGCTAAGCATCAGGGGCGTAATACCCATCTTGTCTGTCTGTCTAGAAGAAATAAAAAACAGTTCGCTCCAAGAAGGAAATGTAAAAAAAAATAAACAATGAGAGATAATCTAAAGCAGAAAACTTTGAATTTCGGGATTAACTCCTTCTTTAATGACTGGTATATTCTCGAACACAGTAGTACTCGGTTGATTTTGAGCTCACTAATGAAAGATGAAAGAGTCTAAGACAAAGAAAGGTCAGGAAGATTCTGTCCTAAACTCTGAGTTCGAAGCTATAAGTTTACATATGTATTACACAATTTAAAAAAGAAGTAATATTTCTATTCATAGGTTTATAAAACCTATAATATAGTAAGCTTATTACACTGGAATTAAGGGCTTGATCGATCCCTGCGGTGGGTACAGCGCAAGTAGTCCATTGTACGTCTTCCTACTTAAAAAAAACAATAAAACCAAATAACATAAGCCTAAGTATTATCAATGAAAATATTTTTATTAAATTTAAAAGTTATTATTTCAGAACCGTTCTAATTTTTTTTAATAGAAAAAAAAATGGTGAACAATTTATAGTTGTCTGCGGACTTACAACGCTAGAAACCGGGTTTCGATACCCGTGGTGAACAGAGCACAGATAGCCCATTGTGTAGCTTTGTGTGTAATTACAAACAAACAAACATAGTTGTTTCTTAGCGAGTTGTATTATTGGGCTCACACAAATCTTAGCAAAATCAAACAAACAAACATAGTTGTTTCTTAGCTAGTTGTATTATTGGGCTCACACAAACCTTAGCAAAATCTTTAAATACCTATAGCTTACTTATTTACATTCCCTGTTTTTTTTTTGTTTTTTTTTTATCGGTGTTAAGAAAACGTTTTCTTCGGCAGACATATTGTTTTGTCTGTCGGTTTCCAAATACCTGGTAACTCCGGATGAAATCCGTTTTCAACAGTTCTTTAGCCTGACCGGTGACTGTTCAACTCCATAATACAGATCAATAACTTTATCTTACGAAGTTTATTCGTTGAATTTTCACGCAAAGCTACACAAAGGTTATATACCTTAGTTGTCCTTAATTCTGAAGTGATAGACTAAGGGGGGGGGGGAAGGCAACTAGTCAACGCCATCCACCGCCACCTTTTGGGGGTACTTTTTTTTAAATGAAAAGCTGGATCGGTCGTTATATTATAACGTCCTCACGGGCTGAAAGGATGAGCATATTTGGTGAAGGGTTTCGATCCCGCCACCTGGTAGGCCATTCCTTATTATGTAACAATTCAAAACTAAGCTGTTTTTTTTTTCACGGCAATTTTGTTAATGTATACAGTTTTAGCTATACAATTTACGAAACGGCGAGAAAGTTTGATGCGTATCCTGTAAATTGTGTCACGCAATCAAAAGTGAAACGTGTGTCTCAGCTAGTTTAATAATCAGTTAAAAAATAAATAAATAAACACCACGGATTCTGACATTTCCGGCAAATGTTACCCCTTTATATCCAGAGGGTTGTGACATTAAGGCCAGTCAAGTTAAATTACCTATTGGGCAAGCAGTGACACGAGATAGAAGACTAGCTTTTCACTGTACAGCAGTTAAATAGAGCGTTGGGTTATTTACTTTGTTACACGTCCTAATGTGTGTCCATATTGCTGTAGGTAGGGCATCGTTTGGTTTTGGGTTTTTGAATTTGGCGCAAAGCTACACGAGGACTATCTGCGCTAGCCGTCCCGAATTTAGCAGTGTAAGACTAGAGGGAAGGCGGCTAGTCATCACCACCCACCGCCAACTCTTGGGCTACTCTTTTACTAACGAATAGTGGGATTGACCGTGTGTCTTTACTGTCTGTATAGTTGAATTTTATAAATACAAATAATTTTCGTTTACTTTATTAATAAGGCAATGCTGTAAATTGAATTGTTTCTTGTTTTTTTTTCTTTTGCTTGGTATTTCCACGAAATTTTAAATTCCTGTGAACTTATTGTACAGAATTTAATGTGTTTGAAAATATCGCATATCACCCGGAAATGACATAGGAAATAAAACGGAAATAAATAACGTCAACGGAAATAAAATAAGATAAGCAGATCAATTTATATTTCACGCCTTTTGTTACAACAATGAGCCACATAACAATGATATGACTGTTCATGATATATTGCACCCTCTAGCGGATATGATATGAACATAATTCTTTGCCATATCGATAACAACGCTATGTATAACGCCATAATACGGGGTCCGATTCCCCGCGGTAGAAAGAGAGCGGATAGCCCATTGTGTAGTTTTGTGCTGAAAACAAACCAACAACAACAACATAGTAATGTTTTATTTTATTGTTTTGTGCGCGTGAAATTATTTTAAAATATTTTAAATAATTCCAACATTTTATAAGTCACCGAACAATGGTTTAATTCCAACTGCGCATTTTGAAAGATGATAAGACAATAATGTAAATGGGACAATGCATTTTAGAGTCAAGGGGTGACTTGGCATATATTTCGTGAATGTGTGCTATAAAAATGTTAGTTTTTTTTTTGCGTAGAAAAAGAATACAGAACGTCAAATCTAATGATAAAGATTGTTCGCCTTTAATCAGAAAATATGCGAAACTAAATATTAAATAGATAAGTTTATATTCCTCTACAATTCGCACTTAGTGATTAAGCCCCCCAAAAAAGGCTTACATAACCCTCGAACTCCAGTCATGAATATGATTTTTAACTCAATGTTCTTGTTTGTAATTAAGCACAAAGCTACACAATGGGCTATCTGTGCTCTGACAACCCGGTTTTTAGCGTTGTAAGACCGCAGACATACCGCTGTGCCGCTGGGGGCCCATAATGTTCATTCTTCTTGATTTTGTATCGGCCCATCTGTTAACATGTAGTATGGATATAATACGTTTATTTCCACTGTTCTATTTCTTGGCAAAAAACATTTCACAAAAAGTTTTCCTTTTTTGTTTCAGATATTCTCGGATCAATCTATGAAAGGATTACCTGCACTATAGCCATCTCTGATTTTGAGGATTACCTGCACTATAGCCATCTCTGATTTTGAGGATTACCTGCACTATAGCCATCTCTGATTTTGAGGATTATCTGCACTATAGCCATCTCTGATTTTGAGGATTACCTGCACTATAGCCATCTCTGATTTTGAGGATTATCTGCACCATAGCCATCTCTGATTTTGAGGATTACCTGCACTATAGCCATCTCTGATTTTGAGGATTACCTGCACTATAGCCATCTCTGATTTTGAGGATTATCTGCACCATAGCCATCTCTGATTTTGAGGATTACCTGCACTATAGCCATCTCTGATTTTGATGATTACCTGCACTATAGCCATCTCTGATTTTGATGTCATAGACTAGAATGGCAGGCAGCTAATAAACAGCAACCACTGCCAGCTCTTGGGCTACTCTCATTGAATAGTGGGACTTGACCGTCACTCTTGTAACGCATCAACAGTTCCAAACTGCGAAGCGTGACTTTACGGTAACGGGACGCAAACCATGAACTGTCGGACTCACAA